ATATAACTAGCATTATTTCTAAAGTAATAAACAATATGATTGGATAACATATAGATACTTTCCATGCTGATTTCATGCAACTTTATTGATAATAATGCTATCAGCGGTAAATCTCAATATAGATCACGTATTTTAATGTTAGAACGTTGAGCTAGCTAGAGGTCAACTCCTCCTCGATAGAAAATATTTCTGATTTGGATTTTTCAAAAATCGCGAAAAATCAGCCATGAAATTTTCTCGCGAAAGCGTTAGCGTGCCTATTTCACTGCACAGATACTGTACGTACTTGCAAATATTCACAGCACACATTTTTATTACAATTGCTTACACATGTTGCACAGCTTTATCGCAAAAACGCTTGATGTGGGAGTTGAGATGCACTTGAGCTAGCAATCAAAAAAAAAAATATACTTTTGTAATTTCATAAATGTTTATTAGCGGCTAACTTTAAAGCGCGCTAGCAAATACTTGCACATAGCTATGCACATGATTTTGTGCGAAGTGTGCGCATATCGCCGAATTAGCACATAAATCAAATAATCTCAGTCATGTTAAATGTTGAATATTGTATTTAGTAATGATTTTTCGTGTATGTCTCCAACGGTTTGTGAATACCAATCGCAGAAACGTCGTCGAATTAATTCAATAAAACTGTCACGAAAACTCGTTGGCCAAAACTCGTTGACCATGAGCGAGCGCGGCTTGCGACCGAGTGCGAGTGTCGGTATGAGCGTGAGTGCGAGCGTGAGCGCGATCTTGGCTGACGGCGCGTTGACGTGCTTGACGTTAATATCTGTTAGGTTTCAATAAATGCTAGTTGACATTTCGGTTGTTTAGACCTAAAAGATTTACGCCAAAGTTAGCACAGACCATGAGTCGATATAATTCACACGTCGTCAGCTGGACTTGCTGCAACAGGGCAGCCGTGTGGCGACTGCTACTATGAGTGAATAGCCAAAGAAGGTCGATAGAACAATTACCGATTTTCAAAGTGCGCCGCTGTTGACAGAAATGCATTCTAGCAACATAAACAGTTACATATTCTGACACTAATGTGAGGGCCTTTATGGACGTCAGTTTGCTGGTGTGTTAATGAGCATGCGCAGGGTGTGGTCGGATTGTGATAAATACCGGAAATTTGTGGAAGTAGTTTAATTCCTTAAAATTTCAATGTCTAAATTTTTAGTATAAATAATTTTAAATAACTCTTTTTTTAATTTTTTTACTTAAACAGTCTTTTTTGCAACTACGCTTCTTTTATTTTCAGCGCAAAATTAAATATCCCGCTTTTTTAGTTTGATTACTTGGCGTTCGTGGTCTTTAATTACTTTCAATTAAATGCGTGCGCTTGCCAATTTCATAAATGTACTTACAAAAATATATACTTATACATATATATATATATGTACATACATTGCATACTTTTATATTTAATTCCATAATGCATAATTTCTCCCTCCCTTTCCATCCCCTACAACCCAGTTTCTCTATAAACGAAGTTTTAAACTGCATCACTGTGCCTATTTTGTCTTCCTCCTTTGACTTCTCCCTCTCGCAGTCATTCCGCTGCATTGAAAGTAAAACTTTTTTTGTTCGTTTCTTTTGCCTATTTTCGCTTTCGTTTTTCTTTTGTTTGCATATTATTTATATTGTATGCCCTTTCCGGCGTTTAATAGGCGCATCGGCTGTTGTATTAATAAAAATTCTGAGTGCGCATGCGTAAATGATTTTTGCCCATTTAATGATTGCAATTGAAATTGTTGCCTAGATCCACTGGCTTTTGCTATTGTGGTTGCCCGTCCACAAATTTGTGTCTTATATGTAAGGGTAATGTACATACAAATGTATACATATGAAGAAATATATATGTATAAATATTCATATTTATTTATGAATGGCTTGTTATATGGGAGTATACCATATGTTCAACCAAGAGGTCAATGGCAACTGATATAAAATAAAATTTCGTTCTTATTATGGGAAATTTTGAGCATATTTACATATGTTGCGGTATATTTGTATGTACCTTTTATTATACATACAATGATGTTTCTTTATATGTACGTACATTAAATGTATGAATATGAAATTTAATTAAAAATTATATTAAATGAGTTAAGAACATAACGCTGTTAGAAACATTCATACATATTTCATTCCACTACCAAGGGTGTACAAAAGTTGTCGGTAACTTGATATTTTATTCCCTAAAAATTATTTCAAGCTTTACTAAAACAATTTTTTTTTAATTTTAAATTGATATTTGTATTGCAAAATTTCTTTAGGGATTTAATTAAATAGTTTGTTGATCTGAAATTTGAATCACTTGAACGTATTACGAAGAGTTCGTGAACTACCTAAACGTCATATTTATGGTATTGCAACTCCTTTCTATGGTTTTAGCGGTAATTCAGGCTGAGGGCACAAACTGTTTTCACTTTCGAAACATTTTGATCAAATTACTGTTCAGAACTAAATAAAAAAAGGTCGAAACAACTGCAGCAGTGGAGGACAATTTTAAGCGCTTTTGGAGTTAGTAACGCGAAAACACTTTGTTTTTTTTAAGTGTACTGTCCATTTTTAAATTATGTTTAGTTTCAGTTTTATGTTTTTCAATTACCAAAAATCGCTTTATTTTAGCCTGCTACAACACTAAACAACATTGGCAACACCTGCTCTGGAAAATCTATTTAAAATTGTTTACAGTTGTTAGAATATTTTAAAAAGAGCCATCCTATTTATTTCTTCTTTATTTTTGAGGACCAATTCACAATCAACTTTTTGACCAATTTGCAATACTACTTTTTAAGTCGTAAGTTTTTCAATCAAGCTTTTTGAACTCAGTTAAATCAGCCGAGCCATTTCGTTTTTTTAGCGTGTGTTCTTTTGACACTCGCTTGCAAGAGAATCTGCGCTATTGCTATAGTAACTTGTCTGTCGTTGTGTTATGCACATAAAACAAATTTGTGCGTAAGATTCGTAGTTGTGAGGAGCTCGGTTGTCGTTATAGTAAAATAAACATATAAAAACACACGACACTACTCAATGAAACCCACTCATGCCGGAAATTGTACATAGAACGTGTTTAATTCACAAATGATCGCGACACTAACGCTTTCTTATGCATATACGCAAAATGTGTACATTTATGTATTTACATACATACATATATATATTTGGATATGTTCTGACTTAGGCACAGATCGATTGTACGACTGGCTGTCTGTCCGGCTGCGTACGAAAGCAACTCGGCGCTTTGCGTGCGTATTTGTAAAAAATAAAAGAAAAGAACTTCGATCAGTGATCCAATTGAAGCTAGGAGGCGCTGTGTTGGAAAAGCGAGTACGAGTATATGGTAGTGGCGAAATTTTCATTCATAGGTTTTGTACGCATAAGGAGCAATCACGAGGCGCTGGGACACATCGGCAGGGTATTAGAGATTGATGATTTTTTTCCTATCTAAAAAGCACATATTTATTAGTTACTTATCTACGATATATATTTGTGGGTAAATACCATATATACATATCTGTATATACGCATGTTACAATGTACATACATATATTCTCTTCGAATTCCGGATACTCAAAATTTTACCTAACAACACGTAGGCTCGTCTGAATTACAGCAAGCTTGGGAGGACGCGCGCACTTTACTTTCAGACAGTGTTTGGGTGGCTTAGACTGACTGGCCCGTTGTGGTCACTGGTCTCGCTCTGTACTTCATATACTCGTATATAATTTATGTATGTATGTATGTAGATCAATTAGTATGCATGTATGTTTCTAATGTCATTTCATTATTGAATGAACCGTATATGGTGGCTTGGCGATTTCGGAACTGGCTATAACAAGTTCCTCAAGACCCACGCGTCACTCTCGGCAAGGCGATGACGCATTCGATATTTAGCGGATTATTAATTTAATTTATTTTGTAATTTGTACTCAAACAATCAAGTGGCTACAATAAAAAGAGCAAAAACTTTGATTGAAAATAATTTTATGTTTTGTCTTATGTTTCTTTGCTTAATTTAATTTGCAATTTCCTCTTTTGAATGTTAAATATAGCAGCGTAATGGTTTTGCATTTTTTAAACGTTTTGAAGCATGGCAACAAATTGCTTTTATTTTACGTCGTAAAATGTTGGTGAGAAATACTTTGACAAAGGTTGCCAACTTAATAAAATATATTTCAATAAAATCGAAAATATACAAATATGAATAATTGCAACATTGATATTAAACTAAAGCAGTTCAAGAAGATCTTCAACTTTAGATATATTGGAACACAGTTGCCACATTTTTAAAACAGAAAAATTTAAAAAAAAAAATTCAATATTATATAATATTATGTATATTAAACTGAAGATATTTAAAGAGACCTTAAAAATATATTGGATGAGTGTTGCCATCTGATATCTATATTTTTAAATTAGAAAGACTTAACAAATTTAAGGGCTGTTTGACATTTGTGCTTTGCTTAGTGCTTGAGAGTTAAAAGATATAAGCGATAGAAAAACTTTTCTCGTTGGTTAAAGTGGGCGGAGTACAGTTAGTATTAAATCTTTGTCTTCTCAAGTTCAAATATTTATATAAGCATGATAATAACTTCTTTTATGTATGTTTGCACTTGTATTGCATTTAAATATATAGGTACTTATTTAAATAAACATACTTAGTAATTGTTTATTTTTCTAAGCCATTACTTAAACAAATAATCCGTCATTGTTTACTTAAACTACACATGTACTTTGTATTAATTTTATGCAAATTATATGCAACGTCGAGTTTTATCTTTATTTACATTCCTATTTAACTGCAGGCGTCATATTTTCCATGTATACACATACATTTATGCATACATCCAAGTATTTGTCTGTATAAACTAATGCATATTTATTATTGCTGTTATGCGAACTTATCATCATGATTTATTACAAATACATTTTTATGAGAATAAATGACTACAATAAATAACTATCTTTGGTTTATTTTCTTTCAGAACGATAACGGAGACGTCTTTTTGAGCTCTTACAGTCGCTTTGTAAGTACAGCAAATTGTTCTCTAAAATGTATACAAAGAAATGGGTACTTGTACATAAATATATTCGTATATACTTAAATATTGTATATAGTAATTTTCAAACCGCTTTGATGGCAACAATTTCAATTGCATTGAGAATTATGAGCTTGGCATGCATAATCTGATGCCCCTTGCCCTGTCCCCACACTCAAATGCGTGTGAACGCAGCGATAATTATCGCTGTCAGCTTTGTAGCATTAAAGCTCCGCATAAGAGTCTGTGCTTCATTCAATAATGCTCTGGGGGCTTATATTTAATTATGAGTTAATATTACTCTGAATTCTTTGCTATGAATTATTAATCTTTCCACAATTAATTATGGCGTAAAGTACAAAAGTAAACATTTTCATCCAAAAGTACATTTTATGAAAGTCTGTGAAACAGAAGCCAAGCCTTACTCGTTTACCTTTTCGACTCCTAATATGTATATGTAAGTATGTATTCATTAAATTTTATCGTTATGGTTACATATTATACGTATGCGGGGTTGCAAATAATTTGATTAACGTTTGAATTAAATTTTTTTTATTTTGTTATCCCAAATACGGGATAAAAAATAAATAAAAAACTTGTGATCCCAAAATCCAAATTAAAAACTAAAAGAAAAATTTTTAATACCAAAAACTGGATTAAAAATGTATTTTTAATTTTAATTCCAACTACTGGATTGATAAAAACAAATTCTCAGAAGCATATAATTAAGTATTGAAAAAAAATTTGCCTTAAAATTTACATTTTTTCGAGTTTATTCAAAAGTAATATTTTTACATATTATATCTTGGAATAAAAAATGAAAATTTATCCTAACTTCGAGATTAAAACATTAAAAACTAATTTTTAATCCGAAATTTTTGAACTATGAAATTCGCAATCCTAATTATATGTAGGTCTCAAACTTTTGCAACCTTACCGTTCAGATAATTTAAATACGTTGTATCCCCCGAAGAATCCGAATCCACCAATTTTTTGCAAGAAATAACCCAAAATCGTTCTTTTAGATGAAAAAGTGTAAAATATCATCAAAACTTTTCTTTTGTTTAAAGGATCTAAGAAAACAATGGAACGCAGCCTGGACGACTGTCACTCCAATATCATTGCCTATTATTATATTATTATACAAAAATATATTTTAAGTGATGCATAAAATCTTAGTTTTAACTCAAGCATTTTCTAATAACAGATATAAACTTAAAATGTAATATAATTCCTTCGTAACCTACATCGGCTATACTCCCTTCAATGCCACAAGATATACCCAAGTAATTAGTAGAGTAGCAATCAGTGCTTATTCATCTCAAACATACATATTTACGATATATACAGAAATAAGCCTGCCCAAAGAAAAGGGAAAAGCCGGAAATTCCTGAGGCAACAGGCTAACTGTTACATGCTCAAGTCAAATATGTGTCAGTATGAGCACCTGTAAATCCATAAATCTCTACATCTGTAATGAAGACAGTAAACCAATTAAGCTCATGGACGGACATACATTTGTGCACTTACAGACAACCATATGTGTGTATTGGATGCCGGCTTCACGGCTTCACAGTTGAGGAGCTACATAGGTGTCATCTAAATAATCTGAAACTTCAAGTCCAAGTATGGAGATGTAAGATATCGCATAACTTGTACCCCACCAAGCCGCCGCGCCCTCCAAATGCTCCAGACCGTGGCGATGGCGTTGCAAAGAGTGCCCGAGGCAGCGTGTGCGGCATGACAGGTACGCTATTTAATTGCAAATATGGCATTGGAGTGGCACTGGATGCGGCATCAAGTCGTCCAGTCAGCGCTGTTGTATCGTCATCTAGCGACATCGTCGTCGTCGGTGGCTCTGCTGCCACATGTGAGTGTGTACCTACATACATACATATAGTTGTTTGCCGTGTGTGGCAAGTGGCCGTGTGTGGCGCATCTATGCGTCTGTTATGCGATACTTTGGCCGCCGTCGATGATTGTATGCCATTGTGTCACGCCTCCATGATGGGACGCGCAATTACGGATGCGCACAGCACATACATAAGTACATACATTTGAGTATGTATGTAGCTTGTTGATACTGAGCCGAACCGTTTTAAGCCGTTTGACGTCTGCATCTTTCTCCTCCTTATCACCATTTGTCGCTTTCGAGTTTCCAGTTTACTCGCTAGCTCTCTTGCTCTTGACAACACCATTGCGGGCTCGGCTGTGTCACCGCAATTTCATAGCTGTAGCTTATATTAGTGTGGCCCGAGCCTTTGTCTCGACTTTGTCACCTATAAAAAGCTGTCGAAGGCGAGCATTGTACACATGGAAGATGTCACGCTTTGTGAGGCAGCGTGTCGAAAATGGTACTTGAGAATAAGGTCGTTTCCTTGCTGTTGTTCTGATTCTTACAGTTGTCAACTGGACTAGTGTTTCGCACATTGTTGTTGTTACGGTTGTCTGAATTTGCTGTTATTATAATTTTTTGTTTTTCTTTCGTGCTGCTGGTCGTGTGTTTGAGCAGTTGTGTTCGTTTAATCGTGTGCTGTCTACTTCATCTATGGGTGTTCTCCTATTCGTACGTACTCCTTGTATCCATTTCGGTTCCAAGCAGTCGGTCGGTATCTGAGCAACCGTGCCTAGCACGATACAATGGCAACAAATATGGACAAGTGTAATGTTACCTTGTTAGATAAACACAGCGATGCATTTGTACATGAAAGCATATCTAAAACTGTGTGTGTATATAGACACATGTATGAGTGAAAATGTTGCCAATTAATCATATTGTGTATTATTGTTCTTGTTGTAAATACACTTATGCGGTGTCCTATATTGTGTTTTATTAGTATATTTAATTATAGCATTTTTATTACTCTTGAATAATACTACTAGGGTGGTCAAAAGTTAATGAATTTCAATAGAGATTAAGAATGAGCGATTTCTATGATTTTCCAGAAAGTTCAGTAGATTACTTAAAAAATTTTTACTTCCGTCCTAATTACAGCAATAATTGAAGAAGGAAAAAATAAAAAAAAATTCCGTTATTTTATTCTGAAAAATCAAAATTTATGTTCAGTTATGAGAAGGGTTTTATATTTTAGAAAAAAACGTCCATGTGACTCCACATATGTATCCGTGTAACGTGTTGTCTATTAATAATTTGAAAGCTCGCTTTTTAAAGGAGCTGAATTTTAAAAAGGGTTAGTCCAAAAACTTTTCTATTTTTTAAACAACGATAAAAAAAGTAGTTTAATGAGATCAATCAGGATCATCAAAAGTAAAACGCGAACAAACGTGTTTGAACTAAGACCATTAACAAGTTATTGGACGGTGAACAAACAAATAAAGTGAAAATTGTATTTTTGGCAGACGTTACAAAAAAAAAAACTAAAATCTTGGTGAAAATTTCTCGACGTTTTTTTGTTTTAAATAATTGCAATTGAAAGAAGATAATTTTAATTAAATTCAAGACCTCCTTTTAAATGGTATCGTGAAGAACTCTATAAAATTTCAGTAAGATCGGTTGAGTAGTTCGCCAGAAATCTTGACAACCGACTTTGAAATTCGAAACACAGTTTCGAGAAAAACGCTTTTTAAGTTTTAAGTGACTATATAGCTGACCTCAAGCGCACAACTTTACAAAGCTGTATCTCCAAAACTATAACCGGTATCAACTTGAGAAATTAGGACAATATTCTAGAGATGTTATAGAATTAAATAAGACAATACATTTTTTTTTGTTTTTCGAAGCCGTTAAACCCATATAACCCTTTTAAAGAAAGTAATGTTTTTATTTTTTTCCTAGAGATAGTCTGTCTCTTAGTCTGCCTTAAAAAGGGTATATTAAGGAAACATCTGACTTTTGTGTTTTCGAGAGAGCAATAATATGGGTTCTGAAATAAATCGATTTTTTGAATCGATAAATTTGAATATTTTTAACGCACCTCAGTTTCAGAAATATACCAACCACCCTAATTATAAATGATTATGACACACTTTTAATCTGTTTGTGTAGCTGAAAAAGAAGCAGAATGCCACCTTTGTGAAGCATTTTGTGGTTAGACCACAATGTATGTATTTATACATCTTATACACATAGATATATATTTACGAGGCTTTTATACTACCTTGCCTTCAGCTTTAGTTCCATAAATAGCAGCAAATCATATTAATATGCGTATGAGAATACTAAGTTAATGAGAGTATTAGAAGTCGGGGTCACAATTTCAGTATTCTCAAAGAATTGAAGTAATTTATAATTAGTTTAATAAAGTACAGATGTGACTAGTAATTGTATATAGACATGCGGTTCGTTCTTTCCAAGTCCTCAATTCAATTATGGCATATAAAATAACTGTTGGATCCTTCTCAGAATGAACCATCGAGGTGAAAAGTCTGTATGCACTCAAAAGGCTAAGCTTTGATAGGTAGAGTTTAAGAATTTATTATGTCGGTTATTGATTGAGAAAGTTTTTGTGTGTGTGAAGATTCATGATAATAATCGTGCAAGCAGCTTAACGAAGTTAACACATAAAAACCTATAATTTTCAATTTATAGCACATGCCAAACAGCAACGATTTATGTTCGAAAGATGTCCAAACCGCTGAATGCTGACAACGAGCAACGAGCATAGGATCCACAAACACTTAATTTCATAAATATTATTTTGCAATATTTTTTATTTTTTAAAAATCTCCAATAAGCTAATACAGCGCAGAAAACAAGTAACGGACTAATAACTTGGCCAAATCCCGCCTTCTAATCCGATCTCTCCAGAGATAAGCTAGCTTAAGCAGCACAACAATATCGGATAAAAACTGAATGTCACTATGTCGTTAAGGTGGCAGCGGTACAAAGCGGACAAATAACAACAACAACCAAAAAGTACAATAAATTAGGTAAGCTTTAAGAATGAAAATGGTGGGAAGCCATAAAGTACGTAATGACTAAAAAGCGAAAACGAAAAGTGGGAAACGGTGTTGGAAGTTGCGTGCACTTACGTACATACATATGTATGTATTTGTGTATGTGTATGTGTGCACACAAACACTGAAAAAGCCACAAGTTCAAGGTCAACTGTGGTTTTTTCCTCCTTTGCTTATTTGGTTCACCGTCCGTGCATGTGTTCAAAATTTTGACTTAGTCGCGCATGCGCTCAACAACAAAGTAACAAAAACAATATTCGTTCGTTGCTTGGTTGGCGTTTGATATAGCTGCGGGGCTCTTAACCCAAACTCTTCACCATGAGTGCCATAAAGACGCTCGGTGGCCAACAGCCAACGGCCAACGGTGTTGACAGCACACACGTCGCAAGTAGTGTTTGAACAAAGCCAAGCAGAGTGGCGAAGCGCGCATGCAATCGCTGTCTGTGCTGTCTGCTCGGTCGACACACAGCAGCTCAGGTAGCCGCCGAACGCATTTGAAGCGTTTAAAAGTTATTAGTGCGCGCCGCAATGCTGCACAAATCTCTCTGTCCACATACCTAGCAACTTGTGTGTATTTGAAGTTATACAAATGTAAATAATTGTATGTCTGTATGTATGGCTATTCATGTTTGCGCTTAACGCACTGAGAAGATTGCTGCTGAACGCTTGTTGTTTGTGGTCAATATCGCTGCAACAGCGGCAGCGGGCGTGCCCGCGACAAGGCGCCAAATGACTGCTGCGCTGCTTAAGCTTCGCGGCTGATTACAAATGCATTTGGCGCCAAAGCTCTTAGATGTTTTTTTTCCAAATGATATTTTTTTTAATTTAGGAAAATTTATTAATTTGAAAATATTATTAAGAGATCATTTCAAAGTATTTATGTGTGATTTGGTGGTACATTATTATGTAATTTCCTTTGCTAGTCTATTTTACACATTTTGCATTTACACGAGCTTTGTCTGCAGTTTTGAAATTTATTATTTATTTTTCTCAGTACTTATATTTAGACTTATTTACATTTTTAATTGAATGGCTTTTTAAATATTTGCATATTTTAGTTAAAGTGACTTTTAGTAACTTGTATATATAAAGTGCGACATTACAAGTTTCTGGCACTAGGTTTAGGAAATATATCTTCATTTTTTAAAATTGTCTTATATATGTAATTATTATATATACACCTGATCTCTGATATTTTAAAAATGCAAATTGGACAGGTAACAATCGGCGTGGACACAATAGATAACCCTTATTAGGAAAATACCTCTTAATGTCTTTTTCAAAAATAATCCGAGTAATACAATATTCGCAATTTAGCGGCTAATGATGCCCAATTTACCATATAATAGAGCAATTAACTAACTACCCAAATAGTGATTAATTTACAATAAATTGTTGTAGAAGTCGCCATTCAACTGTGTTTAAATCAAATGGATGAAATCAAAAATTAAAGCGAGAGTTTATTAAATAGGTAACACTGTATAAATTATTACCTTTCCGTCCTTCTGAGGTGCATAGCTGGGGAGATATAAAGTTCCATTCCCGTTATATCGATATAATTTGTGGCTTTCGATAATTTTGTGGACGATTTTTGGTCTGCAGAGTTCATGAGCCACTTAAGTAGCAACAATTGTGTTAATGAAAAAGCTTGTTTCAATTTTTTAAAAATGTTCTTAGTTTTTTAACACATAATATTTAACACTTACTCTGTTTTCTAATATGTACTAAATGTCATTTCTTAATCACAAAAGATATTTCTAATGTTCTCGAAACCCATATTCAACATCAAGTTTTATAATTACACATATTTATATGACTTTTCTTGTGACCCCAACTGTTAATATTTATTCTTCGTGGAATTTATGTTAGTTAACTCTTTACGATTTATTACGCGTCTTCTGGGTATTTCAAATCTAGAAGGCCAATCTTCGATATCATTTTGATTTTATTTCTTTTAACATAAATATTAGATTTTATAGTTGCGCTCTTGAAATAATCCTACATAAAAATTCATAAAAAGTTTTGATGAATATGGATTATATTAATTATGAAAACTTAAAATGTGTATGCTATTCCAAATAAAAACTTATATATGGCATACTGTCAACGGCAGTTATTTAAAGAAAAACAAAAAAAAAAAAAAAATAATGTGAGAAGCGTATAAGTTAACGGTGAATAAAATTAATATAAATGTTGTTGTATTAATTAAGTGAGCTTTCTTGCTTTCGGCATCACCCCTCTAAAACACGCTGATACAATAGTTGTTGTTTTGCATGAAAACCAGACGCTGTTTAAATTTAAGTTTTAAAGTCATGTATTACTGTAAATTTATAAATGAAGCATATTAAGTCGGTACTTACATCCACACCTTCGCCAACACCGGCACGAGCTCATTTTACAACATGAATCCTGTTTCGTTTTTCGTGCGAAATTTTTATGTCTTTCAACCGAAAAAGTGAGTCAGTTAATAAAAATGATTAATTTTATGGTATAAATGTCATACTTCACAACGAGTTGTTGATAAATTTTTGTTGGTTTTTTTGCTTTCTTAACGGTACTGCTATGACATATCCACACCTGGTTGCACACAAATGAGGTGTAAATTATTTATTGATTTTTGGTTGGTGTCGTACCTGATTTTTTTATTTATAGCTACGACTTTTTATTTTTTGCTTTTGTTGTTTTATATAACTTGATTTACATATGAGTGGCTTAATTAGGGAGTCAATTTAGTGTGCTTTGTATGTGAATACCATATATTTTACGGGAAAATAATAACTGCTGTGACAATTAATTAATATGTCTAACAGCTAAAAAGATTTTGCTTAAATGGTTTTAAAGAAAACTTTTCAATACGTCTTTTGAGTTTGAGTTTATCTTTGTTGAAAGTGATTTGTCACTATATAAATAGCTTCATACTATGAGATAAGAAAACATTGAAAAAACGAAAAAAAAAATTATATGAAAAAAAATCCTTATATTCGATGGCAGCAATTCATGATATTGCTTTAATTACAATACCTTCCCATAGATTTCAACTTTCTAAAATAAAGCTCCAATGTTTTACTTAAAATAAATAATTTTTTTGATATTTTCATATCGGACCTTTGAATTAGTTCATTTTACGAGAAGGTAGTAGATTCTAATTGTTCACCATGAGCTTGCATCCAACATCTAGTCATTTCGAAAACAGTTCAAATAGAACGATGGTTCCTTGCTTATAGTGCTTGAGCTCTAATTTTTTATCGAGAAACTTTGTATACGAAATCCACAATAAAGTGTTCTATAATAATAATAATGAGTACATTAGCACGTATCATATTAAGAAGTTGAAAATGTGCTTCATGAGTTTGAATCGTTTCCTTTAAAAGATTTTAAAAGCGAAAAAATTAAATCTGTTGGCACCCTGTAAAACTGGCAAATCAAGTTTTTTGTTAGATGTTTTCTTAATCATATAAAAATATGTCAATTTAATTGTCCATGTCTGCGAGACGATTCGTCCTACTGTATTATTTTGCATAATACGACTTTGGTCGATATTAATGATGAATGAAAAGTGACCTAGTCTGTAAATACACTTTCGTCCAAATTAATCAAGAAATAGAAGCAATCCATGAGCTAACTTCAATTGATTGTTTAGACAAATTCAATATCATAAAATATTACGCAAAAAAATTATTGTAAAGATAATAAGTTATACCGTCTTAGAATGGAGTACTACTAAGTGTACTACCAGAGCTCGAAATTCAACTGTATATAGTAATATAGTACAATACATACATATATGTATGTATGATAAAGGAAATGGGTAACTTTGGCTGCATCGAAGCTACTCTTCACAGGTGCATTTTTTATAGTATAAAATGGTATAAAAAGATCTTTATATTAATTTTGATCGATCAGTTTGAATAGCAGTTATATGGTTTGGTGATCAATTTGTTCGGTGATTGACTAAAGTAGATAATAATCTGTGTCAATTTTCATGAATATACTTTGTCAAATATGTTTAGCAAATATATCCTATAGTGGTCCTATAACCAAGTAACTGACAAAAAAGCAGCTTTTTTGGGAGAAAAGAACGAGAGCAAAATCTTACATCGGTATCGCCGACGTTGTCTTCTGGATGTTACAAACATCGTCGCAAAGTTAATATACCCCGCTCAGAGTATAAAAAAACCATAAATATCTAAATACATAACATGCATTTCATTCTAAAGACTTTCCCAGTCCACTTAAGCAAATCGATTCTCAGAAAATGTTCTTAAAAATATTGTACGTTCGAAAAGAAACATTGAGAACATTTAGCCTTCGACTACATCCGTGTCTGCCAATCAAAAATTTATGGCTCCCGCTTGTCAGCCAACTAGTCTGTGAGCATTGGTACTGCGTTGCGGCAAGTCTTTTGTACAAAATCTGCATAAGACCAATTCGTCGAACATACCTATCACAAAACATATCTCTAGAAATATGCGATTAACACTAAAAATCATTTAACTTCAATTTATTGCCATTCAAGTAAAAATGTTGTTGTTTGAATTTTATATGAATTCTGTGCTTCAATTTATTGCCATTCAAGTAACAATGTTGTTGTTGGAATTTTAGTGTATGAATTCTGTGTTGGTGTTGTTGTTATTGGCATTATGATTGCAAGATTTGATGGCCCGAAGCGTACTTTATGTGCACGTGTATAGGTGTGTCAATAAGTGCGTTGTGGCCGAAAGGCAAACGAAAAGCGTCAAAAGCATCCATTAAAGCGACGCCTAATGCTCTTTGAATAAACTATCAGCGTCGAGCGGCAGGCGGACAAGCAATCAAGCAGCCAGCGCTGTTTGTTGAGCAAATGTCAATTCATTGCCAATTCTTAAAGCCGGGCTCATAAATCACAAGCGATTTTTTATGAAATTTATTATTGTTGTTGTGTTAATTATTTAATATTTTCTCGATTTCCTGAATTAAAAGCATTGAACAAGCTCAAGAACAGTTATGTGTGTTTTGGTGTTTTTTTTTTTGAATTTTTTGCGCGCTTGATATTCACTTGACTTTTGCCGATAGAGTTTCGCCCATTGCCCCACCTTACAACCAACAACCACAGCGTGCGCTCGATTAAACTATCGATTGATTAGACTAGAAGTAGAAGAAGAGAAGGCAAGAAATTGCGTTCAATTGCTGCGTTTGAGTGATTGGCAGCGCTGTATTTGTACAGTTTAAGCTCCGATGAACTTGAGCAGGGGAATTATGCCGTTGGAAGTTCATCGAAATGATCGGTCTCAACGGTATCATAGATTCGAAATGTGCGTGTATATGTACAATTGTATGAGTATATAAAACAACAATTAGTGTTAGTTGGAGATGTCAAGTAGTTTGCTTATGCTATTGTTGCTATTGACGTTGCTGCAGTCATCAATAAAAATACTTCAAATGAGCTGCCAGCTGTCTTTTGTTGTTTTGCTATGGGTCATTCACCGTTAGATTATAGTATTTATATAGTGCTTATAAACATATTTATTTCCCTATGTCTATAAAACTATATACACACTGAACGCAAATATTTTATGTGGTCCAACAAAAGCGGAAGGTGACTGAGAGCTTTGAATGGGCTTGAAGGTGAAAATGCGCTTCTAGCAAAAGTTTCAATTTCTTAACTTAGCTGTTCTCGCACTTTGCACTTACAAACACGTATACACATTCATATATTTACTTACCTCGCCCAACAATCTTGCGAGTCAAGTACCTCGTTGCGTCTCAGTGGCTAAAAGCCTTGCTGATGCTGGTCATATGACCCATAACTGGGTTAAGCTGCAGCAAGTCGTTGGTATTTGTTGCTGCGGAATTCTTTGCAAGAACATGCATATACACTTTTAATATTGGTGAGATATTTTTCTCTGCTCATTATGTGTGTGTGTGTGTGTGTGGGAGACTAATTGCACGCTAGAAGTTTGATTAATGGTCAGCTACCACAAAAGTTGCAATTCCAGTTGAAGAGATTTTAATTGAATGATATATTACTTCACACGATTGAAATCGATTTGTCGATAGAATTCATATTATAAGCCAAGGTAGTTCGCAAGGTAGGGACCTTGCGAGAAATGTGTGTATGCTTGTATGTGTAATAATGCTAGTAATCATCGTAATTTGTTTCTAAGTATTTCAGTCTTCTGCAATAAATCTAAAATTAGATAAATGACATAAATCTTTTAGTTTATCGAAGGTGTCCAAGAATCTTGTATCATCATGTTTTCAAAATTGAACGCTCCAGCTCTTCGCTAAGTAAAACTACGCTACCTAGCAAAGTCGAAAACCTTTGTTTAAAGAGAATTATGAAATACTCGTATGTCATTTAAATGCAACTTTTCGCTTTGATCGGACTATAAAAACGATTTCTTTATGTCGATTACATTTATTGAGCCTTGGCTGAGATGGACTGTTTTAAGGCCTCATGGCGCGGACTCCGAAAATGATTTTTAAGTTTTGAAAACAGAGAAGAGTCACGTAGAGCCAAATCTGGCGAACACTGAGCGATGTCTCTCGTTTCGCGTTTGGTTAAAAAGTCAGTCACAATCATGTTAAAATATGACGGTCGTTTATCACGAATTACTTCACATAGATGTTTCAAAACGGCCAAGCAGTATTCCTTATTGATCGTTTGACCCTGTGGAATGAATTCATGATGAACTATACGACTGTAAAACGATGAGCATCATCTGGATTTTTGAACGACTTCGACGTGTTTTCTTCGATTTCAGCTTACTTTTGTAGTACCACTCGCTTAATTGTTGGACAGCTTCGACGTTATATTCATAAACCCATGTCTCATCACCAGACAGGAATTTCAGCTATGTCGCCAATAATCTCTTTCAGTTTCATCGATATTAATATAGTTAAAAAACAAACAATTTTAACGACCCATTTTCAAACAAATATGATTTTTTATAAACACATTTAATTCCCGTTATCTGGTAGCAGAAATCAGCATAATGGTTAATTAAAAGCGCTACTTTTTTCGTGGTACGTGTACCACGCTTACATGTTGTCGTGTCTTTCTATAAAGAATAATAATAAAAAAGCCCCA